TCCCGCAGAGGGTCACGAACATGGTGACTGCGCTGCAGCACAAGGCGTGCAAGGAGAGGCTGGGAGATCAGGGGTTGGTTGGTCACAGGGAAGTCTCAGGGGTGTCTTCAGCTACCTAGCCATGGTTTGTAGAGAACACAGAGCCAGCGTTTTCTCAGATAAGCACAGAAAAAGACAATGAGCAATGAACACAAGTTGCAGCAAGAGAAATTTCAAATAAATATAGAAGAAATGCTTCACTATGAGGGGCTCTGGATGAGGCGCCCAGAAAGCCTGTGGAATTTCTATCCTTGCAGATACTCAACACCTGACTAGAAAAGGCCCTGAACAACTTGGTCTAACTTTAGATTTAAGCTTATAGGCTAGACGACCTCCAGAGATTCCTTCCAGAATTAATTATTCTGTGTATGGACATAAATTTTGAGAGATTCTCCTGCTTAGTAAATGAGGCTGTATGAGCACAGATGATAAAGAAGCACCAGAACTTAAGTGCATCTCTGTTACTGTCGCTCCTTATTTATCTTTACCTCTCACACACAATACACATACAGTTCTTAGCTTATGCTGTAGTTTTACCCTCTGGGGATCCTAACTTGGATCTTTTCTTTGCTAAGCTACTTGCTTTTGCAAAATAAACTGTAATTACTTTTCAGATCTCAGTTTTTCTGTTGAGTTGGGTGGAAGCTGGGTAACAGATTCAGAGTTACCAGGGAGAGCGCAGTGCTTTGAGAACCAGTAAAATTACTTAAGGTTCCTTTTCTTAAAGATACCAAGCAGGAAAATAGAGTAGGCTAAACAAGTGTACCCAGATGACTCAATTCCAGCCTAGATGTTTTGCCAAACAGTTTCATCAAATACTTGCATCTCTCGTGTTCCATTTTATTTTAATCAAGATTCATATAATAAAAATCCACTGTAACTTCTTTTGCTACAAGTCTTGGGATCAGTAGCTAATGGCCAGCTGAACTACTGCCTGATCTCTTGAAAGGTATTTGCCAGGTAAATTTTTCTGGCATATTGTCCAGGAACAGCAAGAATTGAAATATTCAGTGAAGTACGCATACAGCAAAGTACATATACAGTACTTCAAGTTCTAGGTGTGTTAGTCAGCCACAGACAAACCTTTTCCCACCCCAGTGTAATATTTCTTTCTTCCTTTACTTCATTTCCAGAAGAAACATTCAAATAAAGATGTATCACACTGTGAGCATTCTTTTCAGTAAACAAAAGCTGGTTTTAGATAAGGAAAAACTTAGACCTCAGAGGGGAATCCATTTCACCCCTCTACTGAATTAATGTGACCTTTTGGGGAAAAAGCAAAACTTGATTGTGTGGCTAACAAGAAGGGTTACAAATATTTCAAATACTTCAATTTTTACCTAACTCTTGGCTTTTATCACTTGAAATACATTGTAGTTTTGCTTTTTATTCCCATAATCATAAGCACCTCCTTGAGGGGGGAGGGGAGTCTGTTCATCAAGAGCCTTGCAAGCAAGGTAATTTCTAGACTTGTTAAACTGTACTTATTCATAAATTCTGCCTGCCTGCTAGTCCTAGTGAAATGCTGAAGGTAGAATTATTGTTTGTCTGTCATCCTTCCCCCAATTGGGTTGATTTTGGTTGATTTCAGAACTTCAACTCTGAGCTTGTTTGCCTGCAAAGCCGTAGCTGTTCTGGGTTAACAGAAACTCATGAAGATAAAGCATAGGGTAACAGCAGTAGCTTTTCTGCAGGCAGAGTTACGTGGCAAAGTTTGAGAGTCGTGAAAAGTTACTTCTAAAATATTTTCGCTATTGTGTTTTCAGCTGTGCAGCTTCTTGCCTCGCTTCCATGAGCCTTATGTTTCTGTTTGTCTCTTCATTCTCTGAAAATTGTTATAACTGAATGATCTGAATTCTTTTCCACTAAGATGGTAAAGACTCAGTGTAATACCATGCAGCTGTTTGCACCCCTTCACATGATGTCATACATTAGAGACCCTATAAAGAGCTTGAATTAAGTGATCAGCCCTTGTGCTTCCCTGCTGGCTTACATACAGCATAGCTAAGTAGGTCTTTCCTCTGTCCTTCACTCTTGAGATTCAAGGCTCAAGCTCTAATTCTTTGTATGATAATTTGTTAGGAGTGGAAGGAGGATGTTGTTTATTTCTCTTCTTTAATTGCTCACTAGAGAATTCAGTACATATCTGGTGGTTTTCACTGTCCTTCATCAAATCATCTCTGTTCAAGATAGCTCTACGTGTTCAAGTAGCCTAGACAATTCTTTTGTGACTAACGTTGATAAAATTAGGGCAAAACTGACTTTGACTTTTTTTTTTTTTCCCCCTACAAGAAGTGAGAGGTCGGTGTCGTAAACTGGAACCAGTTCTTAATGGATATGAAAGGAAGGAAAGCAGTGACAGAAATACACTTCAAACCTGTTTCAACAGAAATGTATTGACCTTACCTAATTTACTTATACTTACTGTCACCTATGTCTCTCACCATTGTCAGAGAAAAACAAGGATAGTTCGGGGATTTTTTTGGTAACGGACTTGGTTTTGGAGGCGGGGGGGCAGGAAAGGAGGAGAGGTCCCATTTGTTCTGTTTATTCCCTACTTTGTTTATCATTTTCTAGGTTTAAACGTAATGACTCATTTATGTTTGGCATCCTTTTGGATATCAGAATTCTCTTTATCACTGTAGAACATGGTATTGTTCTCAGTGAAACTTCTTAATCCTTTGCTCTGAGGTACAGGGAGTGTCTGCTGCTTTTCTTGAGGGTGTTAGAAGCTTGTTTGTAATGGGTTAGGAAAGTGTGTTTATCTAGTTCTTCTCTATGGGCATGGAAAAATCTGTAGCAGAAAAAAATCTGCATTTCTAGTGTTATTACTTCTGTTGAGAATTTATTGCTGTTAGAACAGCTTGCTTAGAAGGAGGCAAAAAGCCCTTGCTGTGCTAGAACTTCACCCTTTATTATCTGCAGGTCACACACTCCAGGTTCAGTGAATGACCTTGTCTAATTGAATTTATTTATTTCCTGCTAACAGTAGGAATCCTGACACGCTGCCTTCTGTTTCAAGGAATACTGAATGATTAATGGTGAATGATTACCTAATGGCGTTTAACATTGTTGGTAGGTCAGATACATACAGCTTTCTATCTTTTTATAATAAACTTAGTAGATGTTAGTATGCTTTTGGCAGAAAGGCTATTGCAAGTAAAAAATCTCTCACTGAATACATGCAAAACTTAATCTCTCCTATTAACTAGGTTGCATAGCGTTTTAAGACCTGTATCCCATTATGCTAGTTTCTTCCAAACATGTAGTATGGGCAGAGCTTAGCCTTTTGTTGGTATAGCTTTGTGTCAAGATGAAACAGAGATAAGTAAATGTGGTAGAAAGAATACAGTAGTGCTTTCTCGGTGAAATCTTTCCAACTGATAACAGAAAAGGATGAACATGTACCTTTTTAAGACTTCTTTTCTGGGCAGCAGACGGGAAAAATTGGGTTTTAGTATTTTCCAGAGAGGTTGTGCTGTTGCCATCCTTGGAGGTTTTCAAGAGCTGTCTAGAAAAAGTGCTTGAACAACCTAGTCTAATCTCATAGCTGACCCAGCTTTGAGCAGGAGGTTGTACTAGAGATCTCTCAAAGTCCCCCTCAGCCTGAATTACTCTATGATTCTAATTCATAACTGGAATGTTTCTAAACTTCAAAGTTTCACTCTAAAGATACACTTTCAGGTTTCAAAGAAACTGGAGAACCAGAACTTCATCTGCTCTATATCAGGATTGTTCTCATAGTTTCAGAGTACACTGTACTATCTAAATGAAGTTGAGAGTTTATGGATTAAAAGCTTTAAGAAAAATTCCAAAAATTTGTGGAATGAGAGGAGACATTACCAAGGAAGTCTAGAAAACATTCAGTTGTGTCCTAGGGAGTGGGTGGGTATAACTGAATTTTGTACCCTGAGCACGAGAGTGGTTTCTAAATCTGACCCTCCTCTGCTTGCCATGAAAAGATAGGGTGGTGTCCTACTGGTATGTTCTGCGGTTCACCTGAGTCTGCTTTCTAGGTCCCTGAATATTCTTCAAGGGAAAGATTCTGCATGGTGCTATTGAGAAAGAGCCATTTTCACAGGAACACTGTCATTGCCCAGACAGTTACGCTGGCTTACTCATTGTACAATGAAGCTGGATGTTTTCTAGGCATCACCTTAGCCTGGCCGTGGTAGATTACTTCTGGAAACATGCCACTGGTGGTTAACGAAGATCGTTGTGTATTCTAGCTGAGCTTCTGCTGCAAGGCAGAGGCTCTGACTTGGGTATCCTTGAGAACAGCCGTTAGTGTAGTCCTCAGGATTCTCTACTCTGCTGGTTTTTATTGTAGTGTATCTGAATGTAAGTAACTTTTCTGCATGTTCTCCTCTTTTGTAATGTATTCTGTTGCTGCAGTGACATTCTTGTCAGATTGTTCATGGGCTCTGTATTTGTAGTTTGTTTGGAAACAAACTGGGTTCTGCCTAGGTGCTTTTTCTTTCTTCACAGTTTGATCCCTTCTGTGATTTCTCAATTACACGTGATTATTTGTCTCTTCAAATCAGTCTTCCTAAAAGTGAGCTAACCAAACAAAAGGCATAGCTCTGGCATTGGAGTATCAGAGCAGGATCTAACAAAATGTTATTATAGCTAGCAGTGAGTATTTTACTGAGAGGTATGTTCTAAAATGCATCGTTAGTTGAATTTCTACAACCGCCACAAGAAAAAACATGGTTCTTTCCCAATCCATCAAGAAAAAAAGCAGTTACAATTGACAGCAAAGCTTACCCAAATATTCTTTGCTTACCTGAATTACAAAAAATCATATATCTGAAAGCAGGTTATATGGATATTTGGGTTGATGATAGAAAATGACTGTCAGTTATCACGGCACTGTGTTTGTTCAAAAAAAAAAAAAGTTAATTTATTGTTGTTTAAACTTCTGTGTTTATAGAAAAGAATGTTATGTAATTTATTTGCAGGTTTTTAATGCGAAAACAGCAGAGCTCTTGAGTCACCATCAAGTTGAGATACAGCAGAAATTCCCTAAAGAAGGGTATGAATTGTCTGTGGTTTTTATTTGTGTATATTTTGGTAGAACATAGGTATTTTTATCTATGAAGGATCAAAACTGGAGTTGATTAATAATTTTTAAGAACATAGTATGTGCTATAAAAGACTCTGTGGTAGGAAAAATGGCATCAAAAGCCTCACATTGGGTGTCCAATATATGTAAGTTACATAAACTAAAAATACGTAGTGTTTACTCTGACCACTCATCAACGTATTTAACATTTAAACTCTATAAAGTTTAAACAAGACTTAAAGTCTCATTTAGAGTGGTAAAGCTGGTCATTTTTACAATTTAATCATAGTCTTCAGCTCAGTCCATAGAAATTTCTTAGTTTGTTCTCTGAGGTGGTTTCTTTGTTTGTTCTTAACAGAGCTACCGATTGCTGCCAAAGCCTTCTGTATAGAATAAAAAAAAATTCTTTATTTACTGCAGATGGTTTTGTTGTGAAAACATGGCTTACTGCTTAAAAATGGTTTGAAATTAATTACCTTTTTCCTAGACGTGTAAAACGTACTTTGTAGTTATGATTGTCAAAGTGCTCAGCTGTTTTTTTCAGATTAGAATATCTTTTTTTACCTAAATGTAATGTTTTGCCTTTTAATTAACTGATCTTTACTGTTTGTTAAAGATGGGTGGAACAAGATCCAAAGGAAATACTGAAGTCTGTCCATGAATGTGTGGAAAGGACCTGTGAGAAACTGCAACAACTGAACATAGACATCACTAACATAAAAGGTATTCCTAGTATTTAAAGGTAACTGAGGGCTTTAACATACTCATGGTTGAGCAAGTCAGATTCTCTAGTTTTTAAGTCAGTAAACAGAAGGGTGGCAGCATGTCCTGGCCTCAAGAGTTCTGTTCCAATGTTAAATTGGAACTGAGAGCAGTTTGAGAGGACTAATGAGAAAATAAGTCTTTTTTTGTATATTAGCAATGCAGAATATGCAAACTAGGCTTAACCTAATCTTGCAAAATCACAGAGACAAGTGATGAATGAAGAAATTCTGAAATTTAAATCAGGACTTTTTGGGAAAAGCTAGTTTCCCTGTCAGTGTCGTTGCTGTCCCAGTTTGTAGCAAAAAAAAAAAAAAAAGAGAGAGAGAGATTTAAAGCACACAGGTTAAGCAGCAAAAGTTGAATGATGAGTTTTTAGAAGTAATATTTCTAGATTATAACAAGAAAAAGTTGGAAGCTTTTTATTTCCCATTTACTTTCCTCTTCTCCTTACCTGTTCCTCCCTCCTCTTCACCTCTCCCTTCCCTCCCTCACCCCCAAAAGGGGAAAACAAACCTTCTGAAAAGGATACTTCTTTCTATTTTGTCCTGAAGCCGTTGGAGTCAGCAATCAGAGAGAAACAACAGTGGTTTGGGACAAGACAACTGGAGAACCTCTTTATAATGCTATTGGTAACTACTATACTTTCAGAATATGTAATGTCATAAAATGAGCTTGTTGTAGAAAAATGCTTTCCTAGTTTCCTGTGCAGATCTCATTGTGGCCTAGCCTGCTAACTTCTCTGAGGTTTTATATCTGTGTCATAAGCTGTGTGTTTGTATACATAGGTGCAATTAAAAAAAAACCTGTTCTGTTAAAATTATTACTTAATAAATCACTTTATGTGCTTTTAACAAAAAACAATGTTCCTGAGGGGTTTTGTACATCCCTGGCATGTAATGAAGCTCTGACTTACACCAAATCACTTCCTTTTAAATGAAGGAGCTTGCTAAATTTTCAGAATGCATTTGATTTAACTTTAAAGCAAAAACATGTTAAGTAGATTTAATGAATACTTATTGACTTGGGGTTTTATTTTTAACTTACTTCAGCTTTTCAGATTATGTCAGTTGAGAAATGGTAATTATCCAGATTTGTTCTTTTAGGCCATGTCAATTGCCAGAATTATTTTAGCATAGTGTCACTGAAAAAACAGGACTCTTCTATATTCAAATGTATGTTAACAGCTTTATCTTAACCCCAGCTGTACCTTGATAACTCTGACATAGCACTTCAGTTCAAAGGTTTGATAGGAGTAGTAAATAATCAACCTGCTGTTTGTTTTAACCTCAGTTCAGTGGCAGTCATCTGCTGTAAGCAAAGTGATATTAGTCATTTGCTTGTGCTCTGATTGAGAAAAGTATATATCCTCTTACGTGGAAAATCCTGTTGGATTTCTCAGATCATTTGTTCTTCTAAATCAAATGAGTTTATCTAACTATTTTTAGTTTTTACAACAGTGCATTTAAAATACAATGGCAATATAATATTCTTTCAGCTACATGAAAAGCTAAAAAAGACAGGAATTTACTGGCAAAAGCTCTAGTTTTGTAGAAGCAGCTTGTACATGTCACTTTTTATGTATTAAATCAGTTGATCTGTTAATTTTATTCAAGTGTGGCTTGACCTGAGAACCCAGTCAACAGTTGAACGGCTTCTTAAAAGAATTCCAGGGAAAAACAAAGCCTTTTTTAAGGTAAGGGAGATTCTGGAACATTTAAATAGTAGCTGAACTCTTATTGCTACAGTATATAATGTTTTGGAGAAATGTGCTTAAAATTTCCCAAAACGAAGTCAGTCAGTTTTATCTTCTAGACCCTTCTAAGCTTGTCAAATAATAAAAAAAATGTGCATAATACTGTACACTGATCTGAGACTGGAAAAAGTTTATTTTCCTCAAAATAAGTGGTTAACACTCCTTACATATCTCACTAGAGACGTTAAATGAGTAATCATTAGTGAGACTTAATGATGTGCTGCCTATCCAGCAATAGGTAAACAACGCACACAAAAGCTGAAAGCAAGTAGAAAAAAAACTTTGGAAAATTATTCATGTGAAATGTATTGTCCTTTCTCATCTTATGCTTTAATACTGAAATTAATTGCAATCAATCTGAGAACTGGGAAGATAGTTTAGAAAGAGCAAATTCATTCTTTTTTTTTTTTTTTTCTGTATGGGTGTGTATATATAACAATTTGGAAAATAAATGCTTGCAAAAAGGTGCCATAATTCTTTGATCTGTATTTATTAGAATCTCAGAATGGTTTGGGTTGGAAGAGACCTTAAAGATCATGTAGTTCCAACCCCAGCTCTCTCAGCCTGTCCTCACAGGGGATGTGCTCCAGCTCCTGATCACCTTTCTGGCCCTCCTCTGGACCTTCTTCAGCAGATCCATGTCTTCTAGTTGATTGTATAAATATTACATATTTTATATATTATATGATTTCTTATAGACAGGAAATGGTTGTCAAAAAAACATATAAACTTATTTGATTTTTAAGTTCTAGTTGAATACAAATTCCATTATTCCTGCCTGTTGCTGCTCATTTTTATTGTCATTACTTGCTGTCTGGTCACATAGAGATAACCAAGATAAGACAGGACTTCTGCAAACACTTATTTCCGCATAAATGGTCTTTGAACTGCATTTAGATCAGCTTTGATCCTTGTCCATTAATGCACTTGTCATTTGTTTTTGATGTTTTCAGTCTTGTGTATTGTATGCTTAGTACTTACTTAAATAATGAGTTTGTTTAGTTTCTCTTGAGTTTTATGTCTTTGTTTTTTCACTTACTGTCACCATTTTTATATATAGCTGCAGTATTCATGGAAAAGGTGCTTGCATGATGTTTAAATGATTTTTTTATTATTTTACAGTTTAGGACTGGTCTTCCACTTAGCACTTATTTTAGTGCAGTGAAACTTCGGTGGCTTTTGGATAATGTGGAAGAGATTAGGAAAGCAGTTGATGATGGAAGAGCTATGTTTGGGACTATTGATTCATGGCTTATATGGGTATGTATTTGTGAGTTTATTATCACTCTCTTAAAAATGAATTTTCATATAATGAAAATTCCTGTGCAAGGTACTGTGACACGATGCCCGCTGATCACAGTGATGTCAATACAAGCCACTAAAGAAATTCCATTAAAGTTCCTTACCAGATGAACTTTTACTGTCCCTGTATCGCTATATATTTTTTTAGGTGCTTATGTGTAGTTTACCATTTATAGGTTGCTGTAAAAATTCACTCCAAATGTTTTTGGAAAAATCTTGGATTTTAGAAAGGTGTATTAGCTACCTTTTGCAATTTAAGAATCCAGGAAGTACTCCTGTACCCTTATTACCTCTCTCATCCCTTTGTTCCTTTGTGATAGGTCTGCCTCTTTAGTTGTTGCAGAAATACCAGAGTTCCCAGTCCCAATCTGAAAACTTTGTGAATTTAGAGGCCTTTTTTTGTAAGTTGTTGAAGTAAACCTGTGTCTTTTCTTGGCAAATACTGTTGATATTTTTTTTTTCTTCAGAGTTTGACAGGTGGGAAGAATGGAGGCGTTCACTGTACAGATGTAACCAATGCCAGCAGAACAATGTTGTTCAACATTCATTCCTTGGAATGGGATCCTGAGCTCTGCCAGTAAGCTCAGTTTTTCAGCAACGCTGTTATTTAAATAGATTCTATAAGTGATGTATGAAGAAACTCAGTAAGAATCTCTAATCTAGACTAAGATCAGAAATTACTGTTGTACTTACTGTTAACATTAATAATTAAGATTCATTGTTCTTTATATGTCCAGATTACAATTGTCTGGATTAATTAAAAGTAGCAGATTTTTTTCTGTAGGTGGAAGACTGGTTCATGGAAGCAATGACATTTAATGGTTTCTTTATTCCTTAATCAAATTTGCAAGTCAGTTACAATGATAGTGTCTCTATTTTAAATTTATTAACAACAATATTAACTGCAATAAAGATATTGTTGGAAGAGGAATGACTTCCCACATGAAAGAGTTGGCTATGTCTTCAAAATATTCAAATATATGCTGTTTTACTTCATAATTCAGTGTCATGTACTGTAACAAGTGGAAAAACACATAGTGATGGATTTAACCCTGGAAATCGAAGTTCCTTTTATGGTGTTTTTTTTTTTTTCTTTACAGCTTAATCTTATTTAAGAAAATAAATGCAAAATGCTTTCTGATTTAGCACCAACTGTGTATATAAATGATTTTGTATTGTGTTCAGGTTCTTTGATATTCCTATGGAAATACTCCCAAAAGTACGAAGCTCCTCTGAGATTTATGGCCTGATGGTATGTTTTCTTCTGTGTGTGTGAAGTTAATCTTGTAAAAATATGTATAATCTTTTGTTAGAATATATACAACTATAGATTTCACAGAATTTCCATAGATTAAGACAAATTGTGTTTCTAGACCAGTATTGTTTGATTTATGATTAGTATGTTGTTATCTACTGTTGTATAATATTATATGAAGCTGCATATTCGTTGCTTTCTCTTTTAAGTATCAAATAGACAGAACAAGATGGGAGAGGTTTTTGATAAGGAAAAATATTTGATTTTTTGTTAGTTACTTATTGATTTTGAAACTACCCGTCAGAATGCAATGTATAATCAGTAGTTTAGAATAACAAGATTGCTGTTCTTGGAGTACAATATTTTTCTTCCTGTACCGTTGAAAAGAAGAGATGTAAGCCTCTATAGAAGACTTCGTGATCTAAGAAGACTGGACAAGATGTGTAATGTCTTGTTTCCACATAACTGAAGGCAAGATTAGTCAGTTTCTGTGAACTGGAAAATCACAAATGACACCTTAGATCACTTTTTGAAAAATAAACTTCTCTTGCTGTATCTATTTACATAGCACTCTGTAAAAAAATATTTGGGAATATTGTGATGTCTTTTTAATCACACTGCCTCCAGTGCAGCTGTGAATATTACTTAGGAGTAAATCATTAATTGTTATCATGCTGAGACTTCAAGTTTAATTTGATGCAGCACCAATTCTTCTGATACAGTGGCATCTAATTTATTAGCTTCGGAACTGGATAAACTGGATGCTGTAATTTAGCATTCGTTTTCCCAGTAGTTTGACCAATTGTTTACTAAGAACATATAGGCATTCTGTAATTAAGACAAGTTACGAGTTTTATATTTAAAATATAACTCTAACATGCCTGAAATGTAAATAGTTTTTCTAGTGTGTTAATGGACATGCCACTAGAAGTCATTACTGACTTTTATTAATGTGAGGGTTGGATGGGAGTGAGTTGTATTAAGCTGAATGAGTGAGGTAAATGGAAAAAGACACTAGCTGGCAACTGAAACAGAATAGCTGGTCACTTTAAATGTGAACTTTTGTTTCTTTTCCCCTTTCCTTCCATTTTTTTTCTTTTTCTTCCTTTTGCTGACTGTAGAAAATCTGTCCTAGCCTGGTGAGTAGAAGCTTTCATTAGGCTGACCACCTATATCTTACTCGTTCTGTTCAGATGCTGTGCATTTCCATTGGCTTAAGGATTAGTAAAAGCACACTTTGAGACCAATAAATTTGGTGGGTATTTCCAAATTTGAGATATTACAATTACAGTTCATACCAAAGTTGTTTCTAAAATGTAGTCTTGATTTATGCGTTTACCTTAATTTGCAGGCTGTTGAATGTTTCTTTTTGTACTAAAGTAAAAAATACAGCTACTGGCTAATAACTGTTAGCAGTCTCATTTTATAAATGAGAAAAGCAGGCCATTCTGTCTACAAATATTCATTCTGTTATACTGAAACATCAGATTCATGCAGGGGTTTTAGTTCTTTTAAACCCAGTTAATTAAAATGAGAATTAAAGAAAAAAAAAGATTCAGATTGGAAATGCACTTGCATGGCTTCACTGAAAATGCATTTTTACAATTGCACACAGAAAATTTAAAGAAAGAACTAAAAATCGTCAGGGTAAAAATTTCTCATGATACTTATTGCAAGAATGCAACTGGAAAACTATGTGGTACTGTTTGGAAGAAATTCTATATGAAGACTTAAAATGCTGTATCTTAAATGAGGCATCTGTCTTTGCTTAGAGTGTCATCACAATCACGGTTTTTCCAAGGCCCTTTCACTTTACCATTTTGCACTTTTGCATTTTACACTGGACACTGACTGCACAGTTTACACTGAACCTAATTTTCTGTATGCTGTGATGTCAAGAAAATTTATGTTACAAACTGTTGAGGTGACAGACTATACTTGTAAACTTCCTGCTCTCTGTTTTTTAGTGTTATAGGCATGAGCTGCATTAAGCTGAAGTCCAGTGTACACCTGAACCGAACCATGTTGCTTACGTGACCCTTCTTTGTTTTCCTTTGAGCATTACAAGTTTAGCTTCTTTTTCATTGCCTTAAATTGTAGTCATGGAAAGCTAATTTGGAGCTTTTCTTTCTCTTTTTGGGAATCAGAAATCTGGAGCCTTGACAGGTGTACCAATTTCCGGGGTAAGTCCCACCTCAGCTCAGATTCTGGTTTGAGATCTTGATACTAGCTTGATACTGCATGAACATATCTTCCCTGGAAAAAGCTTTAAGATGGGTGAATCCTGCTACAAATTAAGCTGATGGTTTTTTTACTTCATGTTAAACATGAAGTAAACTTTTGAAGTTGAATTATTAATTGGCTGGATTCTTTATTATTAAGTTAAGGTCTGGCTGTGGAAATACAGTGGACAGCTTTAATGCTTATCTGTAGTGCTGTTGGAAACTTAGGGTCTCTATGTAAATGAGTAGTGTTACAAAATGGAAGCAAGCTCTGCTTTATATATAAAAGGAGTTCAGTATATACTTAATCCAGAAATGTTGGGCAGATTCTCAGCTTTTTCCAATACAACGTGCATAAAGATAGTAAATTTTAATTTTGATTTCTTTAAATTGACCACCGTAGGTAGCACAACGCTTTTGCAGTTGTTACAAAGGAAACAGTAGTAAAAAGCACAGGTTGTCTCTATAGACTTTTCCTCACTTTCAAGCACCTGTGTGCTCCTAATAAAGTATAGTTAAATATATCTGTTCATGTTCGTTTTTCATTAATGTGATCCATGTTCAGACACTTGCTAAAAAAAAAAATACCCCTCTTTTCAGTGCTTGGGTGACCAGTCTGCTGCTCTTGTTGGGCAAATGTGTTTTCAAGATGGGCAGGCAAAAAATACGTAAGTTATTATGAAAGTTGTAAGCTAAACACACTGTTCTGTTTTGAATTTAGTATTATCTTCTCTTCCAAGCTAACTGCCGAATACTTTTGTAGTTATCGCATAACTACAGCTCTACCTTTCGACTGTGTTGACCTACAAAGTAAAGTGTCCTGACTTTTGTATGAAATAGTGAAGATATTAAATTCACATAGTCTGAGAGGTATATTTTAGAACAAAGTCACTGTGAGGAAATATCTCTTGTGTGACAGGAGGTTTTTCATTTTAAAATTCTCCAAAACACAGATTAAAACAGTTGCATTGTCATTTAAATTGTGACCTGAGGTTAAACAAATACAGGCCGCGTGCATTAGAGTGCATAGACTTGCATGACAAAACCCCGACAGCACTGCTAGATGGGAAAGGTTCGTTTCAGTTAAGTGCTTACTTTTGCTTCTGTGTCTAGCTCAGTAGGGAGACTTTTACTTTTTTTTTTTTTTCCTATTTCTCAGCCTCTTAGTGTCCCTTGTTTAAAATAGCTGATTAGTTAAATCGGGCAACTTGGTGTAATCAAACGTTCATTTGAGGAAAAGCTCTCTGTGTAAATGACTTAGTGTTCCATTTACAACCGTGTGCTTAACTGAGCATGTAGGTACATATACAGTGTGGGACTTTCACAGATTTAATTACACATTAATCTATACTTGTTGCTAATTAACCTTCACTTTATCTTTTATATTTATACACAAATGTAGTGATTAGTGGCCTTGTACTTTAGTAAAATAAACATGGTTCTAATTAATAATGTCATTAAGTGACAATTTCTTTTTTATAAGAAATACTTTTATAACACAAGAGACCTTTTGAAGAAAAACCAAGATAAACCGAAAGATAAAAGTGAGAATTTTTTTTTTACGTATTTGTGTTATGACTTTACTCTTTTTCTTTCCACATATAACAGAAGACAATCATAGTACTATTTAAAGCTATTAATTTTCAGGGTATTAAAAAAGGTAGGGAACTCATAATTTCTTTGAATAAGTTAAGAGTGGATTATAAGCATTTTGTACTCCTTTTATTAAACTGTGTCCTTGTATGTGTGTATATGCACACATATATGTGATGTGGTCTTCAGATGAGAAATACGGCATTTTTACAATTTTTTGAACTGAACGTGTCTAAAGAAAACCCTCGACTTTGTGACAGGAGCAAAGTTTCTTAAATTTACCCCTTTAAAATCATGCATTTAATATTGTGAAATATTTATTTTATGAAGTAGCTTTCTTAATTGGCTTAAATTGAAGTAAGTAAACACTGACACCAAAGAGGAATTCACACTTAGTTGTCAGCCGTATCTGCTCCTTGATCAGGTATTGTACAAGAAATAGCTGGAGAGAGAGGTGTGGGACTAGATTTTTGAACTGCAGGCTGCATTTAAGTCAATTTTTTGAGGATGGTTTTATCATCAGTTAATGATAACATAACCTTCAAGGGGCAAAAAGTGATACCTTGATTCTCCACAGGGGAGTCATGGATTCATGTACTGCAGTAACAAGTTATCCTTTAAACATCCTGGTTTTAACTTTCGTTTGCTTTCGTGCTAGGTACGGAACAGGGTGTTTCTTGCTGTGCAATACAGGTCAGAAGGTCAGTTGCATTTATTAGTTCTTTACTTTTTTACATAATTTTTCTTTAAATTCTTGAGTACAACTGTGTATTAGCCTTTCTTAAACTTAACAGCAATTGTATTGCTAGAGATAAGGAAAAGCGCATACTGAAGTATGAAAGAATAGAAAGTAATAATTTGTTCAAGGTGTTTCAGTAAGACTCCATTTCCTAGCTCCTTAAGTTTCCAAAAAGAACTTCTCATAGCAAGTTTTTTGCTCTTTCCTTGTATGTTTCTTAACCTCACCCAGAAGTGCAGAGTGCTGTGTTAGTTAACTACATGCTTTTCTCCTTGTCTTGACTATTTTATTTCTTCCCTTTGTTTTCTCCCGTTGTTTCTTTGTAGTTGAATAAATAATGCAAAGCTCTGGCTTCCTCCTTATTCCCATCTCCTTCTAAAGACTTCCAGTTCTCCAAGGCCGGATTAGATGAGGCCTTGAGCAACCTTGTCTAGTTGAGAGGTGCCCCTGCCCGTGGCAGGGGGGTTGGATTACATGATCTCTAGGGTCCCTTCCAACCTAAGCCATTCTATGATTCTTTGCTAGGGTTTTGCTGGAAAGATTTGAGGTAGTTTGTGGAAATGAGAAGTAACACCAGAGATCAGAGTGTTCTATCTTAGGTGTTTATTTAGAGTGACTGATAAATTACTTTGTTTAAACTTTCCATACTTCGTTTTTTTAGTGAAGGCTTTATCTTTTCTTTATTATCATTTGAATGTTTTTATTTAAATATCTTCTGCCTCTGTTCATGCTTTACCTTTTCTTTCCCCTTTCCTCATTTAGTCTGTGTTTTCTGAGCATGGTCTTCTAACCACAATAGCTTACAAATTGGGCAGAGACAAACCTGTTTGTTATGCACTAGAGGTAAGTCCAGTAATTTCTTTTTTTTTTTTTGTAGTGATACATGTTCTTGTTTAATTCTGTTTTCTAGTATCCTCATGTTATCTTCAGTTGCATGAAAATAGCTTTGTGTTATAGCTTGTGTACCTCAAGGCTTACGTGTGGTTTCGGTTATCCCTGTCTCCAATCTGTATCATGTAATCTAATAAAAATATTTCTACATTGCATCATTTGCAGTTCCAGGGTATGATGTCTAAAACATTTTTTTCTGTTACACAGTCTTTCAAATCTTTAATAAATGTTATAAATAAAACAAAATTTTATTTTATACTAAAATTGGAAAAGGGGGAAAAAGTGCTAGTGTTTTGGATATCTTCATAATAGAAGTCATAACTAAATGTCTTTGCTTTTTATTTCATTGTAAAGGATTTTACTTGTAACTTTTAAAAATCTGAATCAAATTCCTGAGTCAAGAATCCTCTAACGATTGAGGGGTTTTTACCTACTAAGACTTAGGTGCCTACTTCCAGAACTTAGTTCCTCAGTTCTCCACATAACTCTGAGGCCATACAAATTCTGTAGAAATTCGGATTTTTACTTTGACTTCAGGGTTCATGTTCTAAAGCTCCGCTTCTGAAGCGTAGATCAGCTGAGCACCTATTTGGCACCAAAGCTTCGTCGGGAATAACAGAATGATGATTCTTCCGTCTGTGTTAATTAGTGGGCTTGACCTAATAGTAGTTCTCGAAACACACGTACTGAATTCTCTGCTGTTATGGAGCTTTTGTTTTGGAGCCTATGTCTTCACTGTGAAACAGACAAAGACAACACACAGGATTTTGTTCACTGGGAGAATAGCTTGTGGCTTACAGTGCTTTACTAGGGTGTGGGAGGCTATGTTCATTTCCTTTTCCTTCCCTAAGGAAAATGGATCTTGCATTTGCCATATTCTGGCAAACTTTGGGGTTTTCATTTTGTGTGGGTGTCTGAGAAGTTTGTTTTATTTTTAATCCATGTTCTTAAAGCGTGAACTGGAACTGTCTTGAGAGTGATTTGTATTTCTGCATGTTGAAACACGTGCATGTGTACTTTGCTTCTTCCACATCTCCAAGTCTTTAATGATATTGTCTGAATAAATGGTGTCAACAGAAGGTATTGTGTCCTTTCTCCTGAATCCGTGCTAGAATCATCTACAATCTGCTGGTGAAGACACTTTCCAGAGAGGCAAAAAATGTGGATTCAGCCTTTTCTTTTAGTCAAGCCCGTACTGTAATACTTTAGTCAAGCTTCTAACTGTAATAGCCAGCTGGTTAGAAAACACCGCTGCTCCTTCTAGCAATGACTTTGAAAATATAATGCCGCTCCCATTGTACTTGAAACTTGAGGCTGTCTTGTAGAGAAGTCCATTTGGACTTTAGAGTGAGATGGGAGCCAAGCCATTCATTTATGATCTGATGGAGCCATTCAGGGCCATTTGAGGCAACAGAGCAATTTTGCTGGCAAATGCAAGTGCCTAATTTTCTGTCTCTCTGGGCATTTGTATTTGGACTCTAGACATAATCAGTCTTGTTTTTTAAAATCAAAGCATAAAAATCTTTATTTGTCAGAAAAAGAAGGCTCAGGCTACTGGACCACGTAGTTGTATATCCAGGAGAAGACCTGAATTGGAGAGAGACAAGACGACTGCTTAGGAAATGTCATGGTAACTCCCCTTTGTGGAAAAAGTCATGCAATATGCACCTTTTCTACATGGAGCCTGTATGACAGCCTGCTATTTTCATGGCAATCTCCATCTGCCAAGAAACTTGTGGTTTGGTTGTGAGCATTCTCAGGGGAGCTTTAAGCTGTGACTGTAAGCCTGCAACTGAAGGCCGCAGCTGCCCCTCCTCTCCAGTCTTGTGAAAAGGAACACAAAGATACCAGTTGTTGACTCCTAATGTGGTGGTGGTTTTGTTTCCTTCAGGGATCTGTTGCGATAGCTGGTGCTGTTGTTCGTTGGCTGAGGGACAACCTGGGTATTGTTAAGACTTCACAGGAAGTTGGTGAGTAGTGACAAGTTGGAGCTGTTCAGGTTTTTGAGTTTTCCGATGTCATGTCGTCTCCAATGTTGAATGAAAACTCAAAATATTGAAGTAAAGAAAAACTAGAAGATACATATATTTTGCTGTGTTTGAACAATTTGTTTTGCATCTATGAAATCACTGTTTACTGATAAATGTATTTCATACAGCATATTAATTCAGTCTTTGAAACCCTTTGTCAGCTTTGTTCTGTTGCAATCTGTAGTTTCCTTAGCAAGCAGATATTCAGGAAGATAGTATACTACACTAACAGTGTATTTCCTGATTTCAATTACAATACTGAATTTTCTAGAGCCAAGAGTATTTAAGTCTCTGTTACAGAACCCAAAGAGCATTTGATCCTAAACCTACATACTCATTCCTGTCATAAACATGAGAACCTGAGGCCCTACGTATGCAACTATTTATGTAGAAGGCTTCATATCCATTGAGTTAGGAACCTCAGTTTGCAAAGCTGCCTCATAAAGGAACAGTGGAGGATGATAATCTGTTTTGGCTAAGGATACAGTAATCCTTTAGCATTTGGGTAGCTGATGTTTTCTGCTTGAGCTGAGCTGAAACAAACTGGCGTGTGACATTATAGAAACTAGGAATATGTCAAACTTTGAAAAAGGGGAAAAAGTCAGAAGCATACAAGTATAAGAATGTGAAAGTGACTGATTTAATGAGATTTAGGATTAAAAAGCAATTCATTACGTATTTTTAATAGTTTGATATCTTATGCAAAGGTGGAAAAATTTAGTTTTTAAATTTTATGTAAACTTCAAAGATTAAGGAAAACCTTCGAACATCAGTCTGTTTTTCTATAAGAAAGCTTCGCAGATCATACAGAAGAATATAAACTACTGTCACATGAATTAACCAGCTGTTGAAACACTACAGTACCTCTTGGCTTCACAAGTTTGACTAGACCTTTGGAAGGTTTGAGCTTCAAGAACTTTAATCTTGTCAGTTGTTGAAGTCATGTGGGACTTCATCATCTCTTCTTGTTTCCCTGAACGTGTCCTTCTTTCTCCCTTCACTCCTTTTTTTAAGTGGTGTCTGTATAAAAGTACCATTTTAAAAAGACTTTTTGAGTACATCTTCTTACTTTTCTGTATTGCTATGCTTCTGTGATCAATGCAAACCAAAGAAATCTACAGAAGCAGAAAAAAAAAACCTTTCCTTTCTTGTTATAGGAAGGAGCTGCACATTAGCATTACTTTCTTTGCAGTTCTAGATATTTTAATATTGAGGAGTTCAGATATCCAAAGTTATTACTCAGTTACTAAGAAACTTCAGATTTCCTTGTGGCTGGCCTTGTGATTATATGCATCAGCCGAGAATTTAGAACTCTAAATCCATTTGAAATTAATGAGAATTTAGTTCTGAACTCCCTTTGGTCTTGATCCAGTTTCACTGGCTTGCCTTGACTTAAATGCGAGTAAAGTGTGACCTTTTGGACTGCTTTGAAGGTTGCATTCTTTACCCACAGGATACCCTTTGAAAACCTCCCAGAATCTAGATCAGAATATTGAGTACATGATTTTGCTTTTTAGTTTTGATTTTTCATTTTACATTTCCCACAACTCCCTATGCCCCATCTTCCTTTCATATTGTTGCAAACGGACAACTAGTTAATGAGGAGCAGAGTGCCAGAGTTAGTTGTATTTTCTAGTTGTATGTGGCTTGATTATTTTTGTAGCCTCATAACGTATTCTGAATATTTTTCCCATTTAAATAATAACACCTTTAAGTGTTATATTTAAGTGTTGGTACAGTTGTGAAAAGCTAAATGAAGACTGTTTGTGTGTGTGCATTAGAAAAACTGGCTGCGGAAGTGGGGACTTCTTATGGCTGCTACTTTGTGCCAGCATTTTCAGGACTGTATGCACCATACTGGGAACCCAGTGCGAGGGGGTAAGGATCTGATTAAACACTGCATTTGCAGGGAGATTTAATGATTTTACAAATACTATCACTAGCCCTTCCAGGTATGTGAAATTGTTCTTTTTGCCCCTTTGATGTGTCTGGATACATCATTCTCTGTGGTATCTTCAACTACAGTGTTTTTCAACAAAAGTGTTTTTCTTTTCTATTTAGTCTGTTCAAAACAGCAACTGCTACTGGGAAAAAAAGAAAGATTAGCTAGTTCAGCTACTCAACCTCCTCTCCCCCACCACCTGCAAAAAAAAAAGGGGATGGGGGTCAGGGGAAACATTTGGGCTGGGTTGCACTTTTCAGAGGACAAGTACAAGATAGTTTTGCCACTAATGGGGTCAGCTTTTTTTCTTCACACATTTCTGGTTCTGAAAGAATTTTCATCTTACAAAAGAGAAAGAGGAGGTCTACATACCTGTGAGCTGTCAAGCAATAAAAGTAGAAAGTGAAGAATTTCATGCTGATTAGGTTTTTTTTGAGCTCATTTTCCCATGGCTGCTGCATCCACTATCTGAAATGATACAGGCTACTTAATTCCTCCTCACTTCTCTTACTTCTCCTTCCCCTTATGTCCAGCTTTCTTTCCGGTCTATTGAACACTCTTTTTCTTCTCTCCTTCCAGTCCCTTTCCTGGTTGTTAAGACTTAACTAGCTGGTACTAGTTAGAACTACTAGTTCAAGCAATAACCTTCTATTTGTCTTTTCTGCTATTGTGATCTTGTCTACTGTTGCTGGAAGCACAACATGCCATGGGAATCACAGAAACATAACAATTTTAAATGTAAAATAACTTTCCTAAAGTGAGAAAAGAAATCTAAATATCTAGTTCCCAACATTTTGAGTAGTTTCATCTTTAGAGTTTAGATACTTTTTGTACGTAAGGAAGAAAAAAAAAATAATCTTTGAGTTAGGTGTTTTTACAGTTTTTCAGATCACAATGCTTAACTTTTTGATGGTTAAAAGCTGATCTTTGCAGTAACAACAACTAAAAATTCCCTTTAATCATGTATCCAGTACCAAATGTGGCAGCATTTCTGTGTAGTACGCTACTATTCTTCAGATCTGAGACAGCATAAAAAGATGATTATTTGCTCTGCAGTTCAGAGTACGTTGAAAGAATTCAGCTTACTCATGATTAGATGTAGCATAATTTCTATATCCAAAAGTCTCTTTGAAGGTGCAGAAGCAACTAATATTCAGAATAGATCTTAAAACAATTGTAAGCATTTAGAGCACAACACTGACCCAGCTGGGCTTTTCCTGAAGAACTGAAAGCACTAGAGAATTAACTAAGATTTTAGTGCTAGGTGATATTATTTTTTAAAGAAAAATAATCCTCTATCATACTTTTCATTTTATTAAAGGAAGACAAGAATTTGGGTGTGTGTTTGTGTGTGTATGGGTGAATATGGACCCATCTGCATGCAGGTTGGCAATAAAATTTTAATTTATGGCAATGTATTGATTGGAAACTATAAAAGGATATTTGGCAGGAAAACAGGGATGAGAGAGTTTAGATTAAAGGGAAACTAGCTTTTTTATGTTAAAAAGCAGTCCTTGTACAATGGATCTGAATGAGCTTTGAATTAGAAGGCCAAGGTCTGAGTAATGCTGTATGTCTGGTAAAGAAGTATGTCCTAACTGTGGGTTTTGTTTTTTCTCTCCAACAGTATTATCTGTGGCCTTACTCAGTTTACAAATAAAAACCACATCGCCTTTGCTGCACTAGAAGCAGTCTGCTTTCAAACACGAGAGGTAAAGGCAAATTGGGTCCTAAATTCGTTGTAAAATAGAATGATAACAGGGGCTGTAGCTCTTCAGGAAGAGAAGATTTACATGGTGCTGATGCTGAAAAACTGTTCCTGTGGGCTTAGCTACAATGATGGGGTTGGGTGGTACATTATTTTGGGGTGGCAATGCTGCTTTTTATCAGCATTTTAAGGTGAATGTATTTTGTGACTATTTTGAGAGTCAGAACATAGAAACATTAAAATGATAAGGCCAGTGCCATAACTAAAAAGTTGCATTAGTGTAAGAGACTACTCCTTATTTTCCGTGTGCCCTAACATAGTTTCCAGGAGGATCCACTCCATGATCTTGCCAGGCACAGAGTCAGTTTCACCTCTGTGCCTGGCAAGATCATGGAGTGGATCCTCCTGGAAACTATGTAAGGGCACATGGAACATAAGGGAGTGACAGCGGACGTTGATGGATAAGGGGACAGTGACTGATGTCATCTATCTGGAATTGTGCAAAGCATTTGACACTGTCCTGTATAACATCCATGTCTCTAAATTGGAGAGACAAGGATATAATGGATGGACCACCCAGTGGATAAGGAATTGGCTGGATGGTCGCACTCAAAGAGTTATGGTCAATGGCTCGATGTCTGAGTGGACACCAGTGACGACTGGTGTTCCTCAGGAGTTGGTACTGGGACCGGTGCTGTTTAACATCTTTGTCGGTGACATGGATAGTGGGACTGAGTGCACCCTCCGCAAGCTTT